CACTGGTACTTCAGAGGTCTCGATGGCGGCCTGTAAGGATCGACCACCCGCCTCGACAACAGGAACTTCGGGCGGGGTCGTCAAGAAAACAACATTCCTTTGGCTAGAGCTAACGGGGGCAACTCCAACCAACTCCCTCTCCTCGACAGCCAGCGCCACAGCCGCACCACTCTCCGAGTCCGTCGGGGGAGAGTCCAAGTCCAAGTCGCCGCTGACGACTCAACCGATGCTGCCCTCGGTTCTGGATGAGGCATCGGCGTAGCAGCTAGCCTGGCAATTGCACCCGGCCGACGGAAAGCCAATTGAGGAGCTTTGACACTGCGTGTTCTCTCTAGGCACAATGAACAAACGAATCAATAAGCGTAGTCAAAACAAAACAAAATGGAAAAGAGAAAGGGGCGATATTCCACCTATCACGGGCCTGGGACCATGTCTCTCCCAGAAAGTCGCCCAGGTGCGAATGCCTGCAGTATGAGGAAGCACTGCCTCGACCCAGTCTCGAATCCCTTCCAAAGGAGGCGGCGGCAACTTTTCAGCTACAAAATATTAAGGTAAATCAATAATCATAAGCACAAAGCGTGAAGAAAGACAAAATAGGGCGGTTTCCCAGTCAAGAACGAGGTCTCACGTGCAAAGTTCCAAACTTCCGAGAACCCGTTCGGGTCCGCCACCAGGTGTTCAGTCCGAAATTGAAAATTTTTTCAAAGGAATGACGAATGACCTCGTCGTCCAGCCCAACCATCAAGCCCCTCGATCATCGTGGGCGCGGATGGATCATGGTGCCACAGATTTTTTGGGGAGCAAAGAGACTGAGCACATGCCTCAGGGTGACCTCCCTGCCAGCTAGCTCCGCGTACTTAATGAAAATGAGAAGCAGCTTGTAGAGGTAAGGAGAAAGTTAGGCTGGGCACACCTCATAATAGCGGCAGAAGTCACCTACCAGCATCGGGAGCGGGAGTGTATACCCCACCTAGAAGGGATAAGCATAGAACGAGCAATACCCTCGACGGTCAATCTGCACCCTGTCCTGAGTCTTCGCAAGCGCAATCTCGACATAACGTGGGATACGCCACCGATCACGCATCTGGGCTATCCCCACTTCCCCCTATTAGAGAAGCAATGCCCCCCTGTTCCACGCCGCCCGGCGCACTAAAATCCATTACCTGATTTCTTGGTCGAGGTAGATTTTCATCGACCGAAGGAACTTCTTCATCTTCCACCAACTCTAATCCTTCATTTGCCTGAGCGAGATTTTCGACCACCGGAGAATTAGCCAGGCGATTGCCACGAGAGGAAGTTCCTGCCATAATCGATTCACGAGCGAGAGAAAGAAGAACTTTGACGGGAGAAACGAAGGAATCAATGATGATAACGATCGAAAGAATAGGGAAATTGTGATTTAACAGAAGAAAAGGCTATCGAGAATTCTCTTAGAAGAACAATGAATGTGTAAAGAGCAAAATGACACATCCTCCCTGGTTATAAATAACAGACTCTGCCTGCACAGAACCTAACAATCGCCATTAATACATGACCGGGCACGAGGCGATTCGGTTTCGTGAAAACGTGCACCATTACGAACGACCACGCGAAGTGACGCTCCACTCACAAACCAACGGTTCAGTTCCGAAACTTCATTTCGAAGTCCTTAATACCATTGATAAACGAGAGGCGAGTCCGGCCCTTCCCGATCATGTCGCTCTATCCGTCCGCCGAAGTCGACCCGGGCACGACCTCGATGAACGGAGGGACTAACTGTATTGGTAGAAATTCGGCCATACGATGACCAGGGGGTCAACCCCATCGCGACCAATTTATAGTAAATGGTCAACGCTATTGATTCTTGACTTATGACAGCTGTCCTTAAGATGAACGAGGGGGTCATGGCCCTTTCACAACAAGGGGACGTCTCCAGAGCCGAAAACGACTTCAACTCGTGGCCAGCTCACAAAGCTTGAAGCTATAAATATCAAGAGAGAGAACCTCTTCAGTGGGGCTTCTCCAATGGGCAGAGAGAAAGTATTTAACACTCCATTCTCTCTCCTGATTCTTCTCCTCCTGGTCCAAAACATAGAACATTCTTGGTTCTGAGAACAAAGGGAAGAATGCTCCATCACGTTGAAGAAGACGTGAGAAGTTCAGAAATCGACAGGCTCTCGACCTCTTTCCAAGGAAAGAGGACAATGACCTGCAAAAAGGAAAGCGAAATCTGTAATCCTTGAACCTCTCCAAGAAGGGGCAGGGTCAATTCTCCAATCAATAAAGCTTCCTGAGTATTGCTTAAATGAAAATGGTTGTCTTGTTGCTTTAATTCCTGATTCTGTATTAATTATGATTGGCTAGGATTTACCTTTGATTCATTTTGATTGTTTTCGCTTACAAAGTAATTAGTATCTTTTGAGCTAAACAGTTATGGTTCCACTGAATGTTGCTGATTCGTGGAACTTAATATAAGATATGGTTCGCATATGGCATTTCGAGAGTTTGTCTGGAGCTTCTTATGTTGAACTATTATAAATTGCACTGGAAAACAGGTTATGCCAAGACTCCAGATAAGTTTCACTATGAATTGGAATATCATAGTGAAATGCCAATAAGTCTGAAGTGAAAAATTGCACTTCAGATGCACTTAAGGCCAAAGAGTCAGAAGTGCAACAAACGTTTTCATTCACTTGAGGCCAATAAGTCTCAAGTGAAAATTTGCATTTAATGCACTTAAGGCCAATAAGTCTGAAGTGAAAAATTGCACTTCAGATGCACTTAAGGCCAATAAGTCTGAGGTGAAAAATTGCACTTCAGATGCACTTAAGGCCAAAAAGTCTGAAGTGCAATAAACATTTTCATTCACTTAAGGCCAATAAGTCTGAAGTAAAAAATTACACTTCAGATGCACTTAAGGCCAATAAGTTTGAAGTGAAAAATTGTACTTCAGATGCACTTAAGGCCAAAAAGTCCGAAGTGCAACAACCGTTTTCATTCACTTAAGGCAATAAATCTGAAGTGAAAAATTGCACTTCAGATGCACTTAAGGCCAAAAGGTCTGAAGTGCAACCAAAGTTTTTATGCATTTAAGGGCAAATAGGCCTGAAGTGCAAATTGCCAGAAACAGAAATTTATTCTTCGAATTATAAAAATTCAATATACGATTTTATACCTAAATCTACTCTAAATGAGCTCAAATTTAAAACATAACCTCCAAATATTATCTTGAACAAACCCCAATCATCAATTTGTCAAAACAACAATAAATCTAATGAACCCATTTTGCAATTAAGAAAAACAAGAAGAAGAAACCCTAAGCAATAATATAAAAAAAATAAAGCGTCATAACAACTCACCATTGTAAAACATCATAAACTGTATTAAAATATGTTCACAATCACCAAAGTTTTTATGCATTTAAGGGCAAATAGGCCTGAAGTGCAAATTGCCAGAAACAGAAATTTATTCTTCGAATTATAAAAATTCAATATACGATTTTATACCTAAATCTACTCTAAATGAGCTCAAATTTAAAACATAACCTCCAAATATTATCTTGAACAAACCCCAATCATCAATTTCTCAAAACAACAATAAATCTAATGAACCCATTTTGCAATTAAGAAAAACAAGAAGAAGAAACCCTAAGCAATAATATAAAAAAANCTTTACGATCAACTTCAGACTTATGAGTCTGAAGTTATAAAAAATGCCTGAAGTGAAAAAAACTGCACTTCAAATGCACTTAAGGCCAAATAGGTCTAAAGTGCAACCAATGGTTTCATGCACTTAAGGCTAATAAGTCTGAAGTGAAAAATTGCACTTCAGATGCACTTAAGGCCAATAAGTTTGAAGTGAAAAATTGCACTTCAGATGCACTTAAGGCCAAAAAGTCTGAAGTGAAACAAACGTTTTCATTCATTTAAGGCCAATAAGTCTGAAATGAAAATTTGCGCTTCATATGCACTTAAGGCCAAATTGGTCTGAAGTATAACCAATAGTTTCATGCACCTAATGCCAACAAGTCTAAAGTGCAAAATTACACTTCAAATGCACTTAAGGCCAAAAGGTCTAAAGTGCAACAAAAGTTTTGCTACACTTAAGGCAAAGTGAAAAATTGCACTCAGATGCACTTAAGGCCAAAAGTCTGAAGTGCAACAAACGTTTTCATTCACTTAAGGCCAATAAGTCTGAAGTGAAAATTGCCCAGAAACGAAAATTTGTTCTTCGGATTATAACAATCTAATATATGATATAATACCTAAATCTACTCCAAATGAGCTCAAATTTGAAACATAGCCTCCAAATATCATCAGGAACAAACCCCAATCATCAATCTGTCAAAACAATAATAAATCTAATGAACCCATTTTGCAATTAAGAAAAATAAGAAGAAGAAACCCTAAGCAATAGTAAAAATAAAACGTCATAATAACTCACCATTGTAAAATATCATAAACTAAATTAAAATATATTCACAACCACAATATAAAATCATTGTCACCCGAAGAAGAAGAAGAAGAAGAAGAAGAAGAAGAAGAAGGAGGAGGAGGAGGAGGAGGAGGAGGAGGAGGAGGAGGAGAAGAAGAAAACGAAGGAGGAAAGTAGGAGAAAGAGGCCTGAAGTTGTTTAAAAAGTGGGTACGAGTTAAAACTTTTTTAAAAAGTGGGTATAGGTTAAATGGGAGCGACCAAATAGGGTGCTCCGTGCAATTTTTATTGTTTACAGGTGTGACTTTAATATTTCATACATTCTGCTTCTCATCTGCAATATAATTTTAATAATTTATTTTTCTTTTCTGATTATCTGATAAGAACAATATTATCATACTAATATTTAAAAATACCATCCGCGCATCGCGCGAGTTTTAATACTAGTAAAATAAAAAATGGAATGTACTACACTAGATACTTTAACTGTATAACATGTGGGAGTTAAATAAAGGAAAAAGAAATAAGATAACAAGAAAAAGAAAGACTGGATCCTAGGTTTTTTTTTTTTTTTTTTTTTTTTAAAGTTTAACGCTAAACGCTGGCCAGGGGAGAAGTAAGGTATTCAGTATTCACACGGTGAAGAAATGAGGATCCAGCTGGGATCTCGTCGGAGGCGACTGTCTCTCAACCGCGCACTCGTCGCCACTGCAATTTTCACAGCCATTGGCCTATTGATCCTAACTTTGAGGTCCGTCGATCCATCCACCCACCTCCCAATCACCACCTCTGACTCTGAAAACAGAGATGCTAAGCCAGCTCATACTACAAATCTCCGCTCTGATGCTGCTCAATCACTGAAAACATGCGCTACGGTTGAGGAGATGGGCGAGGCCTTTAGCCGTGGGTTTTCAGAGGAAAGTTACAGAGTCAGGAATATCATTCAAAATCACTTTGCTATTAATGGTACTTATTAACTAACTTCATTTCATTTCATTTTACTATTATCTATTGGATTTGTGAACCACAGTTATGCGTAATTTTTATCAAATTTCTAGAAGAACTGTTACAATTTCGGAAAGTTAATTAAGTTATATACACCGACAGTGCAATCAATCAGTGTAATTTTACCTGTTATAACATGTTACTAATGCTAATTAATAGTGTTACCTGTCAATTATCTTGTAACTGACCTGATTGTGTAAATATTCTTTTACACCATGAGTGCATAGAACATAAATTGCTGAATATTTTATTACCATTTTTCGTGCGACTATCAACGGAAATCATTTCATACTGTCTCCTTTTTAGGTGCTTCGAGAGTCCGAGCGCTTCCGCCAGAGGAGTTCTGCAGGCATGGTTTTGTATTGGGGAAAGCATCAGAAGCAGGTTTTGGTAATGAGATGTACAAAATCTTAACTGCGGCTGCACTGAGCGTGATGTTGAACCGGTCGTTGATAATTGGGCAAACCAGGCATATATTGGTTCTCTCTCAAGCCTTTCTATTTGTACATATCTAGTTTCGGATTCCATATTTCTAAGTATTTCTCTTATATTAGTGAAGTTCTTTTTCTTCATAATAAAATAATACTATGGATTATGCATAGTTGTAGTGGCCTAGTACTCTGGAAATATCTTCTTTACTGTCTAATTTTTGCATTTTGAAAATTTCAGGGGTAGATATCCTTTTGAGGATTTCATCTATTACTCCAATATTTCCTTCACATTGAAAGAAATCAAGCACCTTTGGAGACAGAATGGTTGTCTGACCAAATATGGGAGGCATCTCGTTATCAGAATTGATGACTTCCAGAAGCCAGCACGAACAAATGTTCTGTGTAGCAATTGGAGGGTTTGGGAACAGCCTATTATCTGGTAAATGAGAATATCATTCACGATTCGTGTTCTCTCCACTCTTCCAAAAATTTTATAGAAAGAGTAATCATTTCGATGAATAACTTCGTTGGGACAGGTTTCAGAATACAACAGATGCCGTGGCTGCTCAATTTTTCTTGAAGAATGTACATGATGAGATGAGGATAGCTGCTTCTACTTTGTTTGGAAAACCAGCTGACCTTCACCATAGGCCTAACGTATTTGGGGAGCTAATGAGACTTCTCATATCTCCGTCGGAGAATATTCAACATGCTGTGAACTGGGCACTAAGTGGTGGTGCTGACCCTGATATTGCTCTACACATGCGGATGCTTATGAATAGGTAGTGTAACTTGAAAGTTTATTCTTGCCTCTGCATATAATAGGTTATTGCTATATAACTTTCTGAATTTTTTTTATAAACACTTGCTGAAGTTGAAGGTTTCTGGTAAAAATTAGTAGCTGAAGTAACAAAGTCTCAGTTAGATTAAGATAATGTGAAGAAAGTTGAATAGTTTGATTGGTCTCTTACCAGTGTTCTATAATAGGGTAAAAGCAAATTTATCTATTTAAATCTAGAAAAGAAATGAGTCAAAAGTTGCACAAGCTCTTGATTATATACCACAAAACTAGTTCCTAAGATATTTAAGCTTCAAATTCAAAGCTGGTTCTTTTACTCGTAGAAGCTCCAGTTTTGTTCTGTGCATAAAGTCCATATGATGCAATAGGCTATCGTAGTTCTACATCTTCTACCCATTATCTTTCCCAATGCATGAATTATTTGTCCTCCAGTGCATTGTTTCTGATATTAGAGTGATTAATCTTCTTTTGATAAGCTGCACAATATATAATCTTTTAAGAGATATCTGGAAACTAGTGAAGGGAAAAGGAGAGAAAGGGAGGGGAAGTTTGAAATTTTTTTCCCATTGTCTGGTTTGGATGAAGGAAGAGCAAGAAAATGAGAGGTAAAACTATTTTCTAAACCGAAGAAAGAAAAGAAAATCACTTTCTTTCATTTCTCTTGTTTCTTTGTGATATTTCTTTTGCTCCTTCTAAAACTAAGGATTAGTTTTTCTTTCAACAACAAATGGAGCTCAAGATAGCATTGTTGATTTCTTATTACTTTACTTGGTTAAGTTATTGTTCCAAATTATCTCTTCATTTTGAACGGTGAATGCTTGAAGGGAAAAATAGAGCATTTGCCTTTACCTATACAGACCTTATGCTATGTGTGATTTTTCGAGACCTCAGGATCTAGGTAAATATGACCCCATTCCACTTTGGTTAGATGATATCAATAGTTCACTGACTTGCGTGGGGTTTTCCTGTTCTTTTTCCTTTTCTTTTTTTGTGTCTATCAGAAAGAAAGTAAAATAGGGAGAAAATTTTCTAGATGAAATTAATTTACCCCGCCTTGGAATACTTGCAGTTTATTACAGTGATACCTTTCCATAACAGAGGTTGTAGAAAAAGATTTGATACTGTACCTTTCCACTGCATGTGGATCATACATGTAGCGGGGACAGTTGATGTTGTGTATATTTGCAGTTTTTGCAGTATACGATTTTCAGTAGATTGTCAGAAAGAATTAACATGAGCCCGTACTCCGCAGTTAATTATCAACTTTCATCCTTTATATTTTCTCAGATCCATTAGAGCAGTTCAAGCAGCTTTCACTTGCATCAGCAAATCTGTGGAAAATCTAAAATTGACGTCCAAGCCCAGAGTAGTATTAGTTTCAGATAATCCTTCTCTGGTCAAAGATATTGCTCCAGAATTGAATCAGTTTGCAGAAGTAAGCTGAATTTTCCAATTCCCTTGTTGCTGCTTAATCTTTTAAGATAACAGGAAGCACTAGTTATCAGAGATCCAACTTGTAGTGCTCCAACTTCACAATCTAATGGAACCGGGTTGTTGATATGCTTTTATTTGGTTTTGCTAGGTCCTTCACTTCGATTTCGAAAGCTTTAAAGGAAATATATCTGGCAAATCACATGTTCATACTCTCAATTTTAGAACGAAGGATTGGGGTACCGCACCAAGATGGGTTGCATTTGTTGATTTCTTTCTTGCTTCACGTGCAAAACATGCAGTTGTCTCTGGGGCTCACCGGCGTGTTGGGACCACGTTTGCTCAGCTGGTTGCAGCATTGGCTGCAGCTAACAGCCTTGGTAATTTTTGTAACTTCACAGTGGTTTTGATCCCACCCTTAGGTGAATATGTCTCTTTTTATGTTTCTCATTCAAATATATCTTTCTCAGATGATAGATCCTCTGCTGGATCAAACTTCACCTTCCTCAGTAGCTTCCAGAGTAACTTGCTTGCAGAAGGTCTAAAGAATCAGATTGGTTGGGGGCACGTGTGGAACCGATTTGCTGGTACGTTAAGCTGCCACAACCAATCTAAGCAATGTGCTCATACTCCTATTCTTCCGCCTGCATGGTGGGATGGACTTTGGCAGTCACCTATTCCACGGGATGTACACAGAATGGAAGCATATGGCATCCGCCTTTCTGGTTTTGGGACATTTGATGACAATCAGCTATACTCTTTCTGTAGTTCGAGGAAAAATTTTGTGCTTACCGTTCCATTAATTTAGATATGTCTACATTCATTGGGAGATTTCTCCTGGTCATGCTGATTTTATGTTGGCATTGGTTTATTGTTTCCAATTGATTGTTGATACATGTTGAATGCTGTTGTATTTCCGAATGGTCGGGGCAGATCTTAAGAACCTGGAGTTACTGAATTTAAATTACCAACAACATCAGCAACTATGCCAAATTTTAAAGTTGTCGGGGTCTACTATATGAATCCTCATTAACAAATTGCTTCATGTGGACCTATTTCTTTCTGATATTCATTAACTCAATGTTTTTCAATACTAGATCTTCTTTATTGATATACACATCTCTAGACAAGCTAAGCAAGCTCCTAACACTCGCTGAATCCAATGTAAGAGTAGTGTCAAGGCGAAGCCTTAGTTTTAACTAATTGACATCGTCTATATCCATATTTTACTTACATTGTGTTATGTTACCGTGAGGTTTTTAATTATGTTGAGAGATCGTAGGTCGTTGATAACAACTTCTTTTTATGTGACTTATTGGCACATGAAAATTTTGATCCACTAGAAATACGTCAGCCAGTTAGTGATAACACAGGGTCTTTAATTTGTATTCAAGGGCTTCATATAAACTAGTAGTGACATGCTAAACACGATCTCACATGGGCGATAAGAGTATTCTTCTATTCCTTTTGGGGGTTTCAATCGCGCAATACAATGTAATTGAGGGTGATTTACACAAATAGGACCATTTTAGCAGGGGCGGCTCAAGCATATACGCCCTAAAGCCAAAATTTAATATGAGGCCTAAATTTTCTAAAAAAATTATAAGATATATTTTTATTTGATGTCTATTCTTCTAAATTTTTGAGATAAAAAATTGTTAATAAGTTTTTTTATAATCGATTTTCTCTAATAATTCTTTTTGATAAGATTTTTCAAAGCAATAGAATTATAGAACTATTGGAAGATTAAAAGTATTGCTGAACACTTGAACTAGTGAAATCTTGGAGAAAGAAGGTGAGTAATGAAATCTTGAAGAAAGAAGTGAGTAAGAATATTAAAGAGAAACACAAAAAATATGTAGGGTTTTATGAAATATGAAGAGATTGGAAAAAAGAAAGAAAGATTGACTTGGACAAATTAAGGAAGAGAAAGCAATTTTTTTTAATGAAGGAGTAAAAAATGAAAAAATAAAAGTTAAGAAAACTATTCATCTACCCATTTTTAAGTCAAATTATTATTTATTTATATATCTAAAAAAGTTTTCTTTCCTTTATATTAAAAACTCTAGTTTTGTAGTAAAAAACACTAAATATTAAGTATTTTTAAATAGCTATGAATGTATCATTTTTAAAAATGGGCCCCACTAAGTTTGGGGGCCTCAGGCACAAGCCTTACTCCACATAAGGTTGGAGTCGGCCCCGCATTCTAGGCTACTGTTTAAATTTGTCCTCCTTTAAGGAACTCGTGTGGAAAAAAAAAACTCGTAGGAGTTATGCAGGCGGAAGAATGAAAAATTACACTTTTGCAAGTTATGCTGGGGATCATAACTTTGGTACAAATTGTTCAAAATTTTTACCGGATGAGCAAAATCTGTGTTTGACTCAAAAGTTAACGATATACTTTGTAAACTGAAAAACAATCAAAAGTAGGAAAAGGGGTAAATCGTAATCAAATATAATAATCCTAGAGATGCAAAGATGGTAATATTGTTGTAGATCTAGTATTGCAAAGTGATAATATGAACTCAATAAGATATGTTCGTTTGAAGTAGAGATAGAGAGAGAAAGCTAGAAAAATGAGAGAGTTGTCTTATATCAGATGCCCCTTTTACAATGTGAGGGTCTCCTTTATATAATAAGAGACCCTCCTCGAAAGAATCAAAAAGTTACAAAGACAGGTAACGTCTCCCTAGTGAAGACACTGAGTCCTAAACGATGTCGCTTTTGTCCCCACGGCCGAGTCGTACCCGCTACGTTAGTCAGCGTACACTCACTGGGCGTACCCACTGGCGTAGAGATGCTGAGGGTCAAATTTGACCCTATACAGTTAGTCCCTCCGCTCGTTGGAGACGCATTCGGTGGGCGTCTTCGATGGGCGGAAATGTGAACCTCGGCTTAGGAGAATTTGACCTCGACCCGGGGCGGCAATATGAACGAGGTGAAATATATGACGTTGTTGAGCCACTGACGCGTGGCTTCCTTTTTGGAATGACGTCATTGCCTGTATGCATCATTATTATATTTGCCCCCGAGGCGGTTCAGAGGATGATGTGACATTTTGGTTTCCCGCGCATGCTTTGAATCATGACTCTTCGATTTCTGCGTAACTTATCCCTATAAGTAGGAGAGAGGTTCAATTTGATTCAACTTTCAAGCCTTCGGAAAGCATTTTCCGATATACTCCTTTGTCTTTCTTTCCTGTAACCGTTATTTCGCGAGGGACTCTCCCACTTCTGTTGAACCACACTTCCTATCGTCAGTGCTTCGTTTCTTACGCAGTATAATCATGACAAAAAGTGGACAGAGTAGTAAAAAGGCCAAAGATAATACCCCGTCTAGGGTTCCGCCATCTTCCGGTGGTGAAGGGGAAAAGGCGGAGAAGGCCCTTGTTCCTCTCAGCGTAGACAACGTCCTTCCGAAGGAGATGCATGTCCGCAGGGATTTTCCAACCAAAAGCCCAGACCTTCCCTGGGAGCACAGCGTTTTATTACAATCCCATTTAGATGATCTGCGAGAGACGCACCATATTCCGGACCACGTGGAAATGGTTCCGGCCGGGACGGACTATGTCAATGTGCACCGGCCTGGATATTGCACATTCTATGAGTACCCGTTCTTGATCGGTTACAATCTACCAATCTACCCTCTGATGGAGGAGCTTTGCCGTTTTTATAATGTGTGTCCGGCCCAGCTCACTCCTTACACCTTGAAGGTGTGCCGTATTGTGACCACTTATGCGGCCAGGGCTGAGTGCAGCGTCTCGGTCCACCACCTCTTACAGTTATTCAGCCCTGGTTACCTGAGGGGTACCATGCTGCAGTTAAAAGGTCGTGGCACAAGGGGCTTGGTTGTTAAAGCCGATGATAAGCCCAACCGCCGCTTTTGGCGTAAATATTTCTACATCAGGACGGAGCACCTGGTGTCGAATCCTGAAGGGTTCCCGGAAAGATGGAATCCAGAACGTAAGTATTTCTACTCGTAGAATTCAGGACTGCTTGCGCTTTTGACCATACGGCCATTGTGATTTCTTTGCTTTTCTCCTTTTTTTATTCGTAGCGAGGGCTTCTCCACCCCAGTTCATTGATGACATTAAATCATGGGTGGAAAGAATAATACCTTATGCGGAGGAATGCCGTACTTGGGCTGCATTTCTTCAACAGTACGGCCCGTCAGGTAATTCTTTGGCTACGATTTGGGAATTCCCTACGTTCTTGTTTCCTGACTTATTCGCGTTGGCAGGTCGGAGCGCTCCTAAGAAGAAGAAAAAGAACGTCGTCACCTCACCTGGGGCGGGGACTGATTCTGAAGACGGATACATACCCTGTGGTTCGCCCAGTGATGGCGCTGCGGAGGTTCCTCAACCGCTGCCCGTGGCGGCGTCCACGAGGGGAGCGACTCCTTCAATACCATCCCCACGGGCTGTGGAGGNATCATAAACTAAATTAAAATATATTCACAACCACAATATAAAATCATTGTCACCCGAAGAAGAAGAAGAAGAAGAAGAAGAAGAAGAAGAAGGAGGAGGAGGAGAAGGAGAAGGAGAAGGAGAAGAAGAAAATGAAGGAGGAGGAGGAGGAGGAGGAGGAGAAAGAGGCCTAAGTTGTTTAAAAGTAGGTATAGGTTAAAACTTTTTAAAAAAGTAGGTATAGGTTAAACGGGGGCAACCAAATAGGGCGCCCCGTGCAATTTTTACACCTCAGCTTGACTTGGGAAAGCCTAATTAGGATGGGCACATTGTATGTTGGGAAATAGGAATGGCCATCAAATTCGAGGCTAGTAATATAAAAACAGGCAGATTTAAGCAACAAAATAGGTAATTCATCACGAAGAATTAACCTAAATAGTCGTTCACTCAACCGTTTATATATATATATATATATATATATATATATATATATATGATGATGAATCTGATTATATATAATTATGTATAATCAGTATATAATCTATGTATAACGATTAGACAAAATAAACAATGAATCTAGCCAGCTATTTGTGTAAAGACCTCATTCACTAATCGGGCATGAGGAGATATTTAAAGGGAAAAAGGTCGGATTTATCCCTCTACTTTGGTAAATAGTTTACGTTTATCCCCCGTTATACTTTCCGTCCAAATCCATCCTTACCATTAATAAAGTAACTAAAATTGCCTCTAACCCTAACGGACATTCATTGTGGCACCCAATCCCTCAAAAAAATTTCCACATAGATATCCAAGTCAGCATTTTTTAAATTTAATCCCTAAACCCAATCAACTCATCCCAATTTTGCATTGTATCTGTAAATTTTTTGCATATTATTTGCCAGTTCGCACCAGCAAGGTATTCTTCAACTTTTCCAGCCCAACAAACAATTTAAGATTTCAAACACAAGATCAATCGAGCCCAGTTGTCTTCTTCCAGCAACTAGCTGCTGAAATTCTTGCCCAAACTGCCCAAATCTTTCAGCGAATCACCCAAAATAGAAGTTAATGAACTCCCCAAGAGATCCCCAACAAACTCCGATAACATCCAAATGAAAATAACGCAAACTCGCAGATCCAAATTTTTTGACTCAAGCCTCAAGCTTCTTTAATGGCTGTCAATCTTCTCCTTCTCATTTCACCTCTCAAACCAATGGATTTTAATTTTTTAAGCTTCAAACAATAGCAATAACCAATTTAATCAACTAATACTTTCTTTATCCTATTCGAAGAGAAGGTGGTATAATCAACTTAGTCATGTTTCGGCGATTAATTCAAGTGTAAAACTTATCTGTTCAATTTGGAGTGGATGACACACTTTTACAAGGATGCTATGTTATGAGATGACTTAGATTTTTCTTTAAGAATACTTGTCTAGTGTTATAAAATCAAAACAGAAATTACTTAAAGCGCTCATATCTTGAAGAGAAAAGATAGAGAGAAGAAATGGGGTGGTGGATTAGGAAGAAGAAGAAAAGAAAGAGGGGACGGGGGGAGGGGGGTATGATTGTGAGGATTACTGGTAATTACGTCAGCGAAATCATGGACGGGTCAATTGGACTTAGGGATTAAATTTAAAAAATGCTGACTTGGATATCTATGTGGCAATTTTTTTTAGGGATTGGATGCCACAGTGGATGTCCGTTAAGGTTAGGGACAATTTTAGTTACTTTGTTAACGGTAAGGGTGGATTTGGACGGAAAGTATAACGGGGGATAAACATAAACTATTTACCAAAGTAGAGGGATCAATCCGGCCTTTTCCCATTTTTAAAATAGTACTCCCTCCGGTCCAAAATAAGTGATTTTTTGGATGTTTTCACACAGATTAAGAAATCCATCTTTTAGCATTAATTAGCAATGAAATTGACCATATTAACATTTACTATCTCACATAAATACTCCTAACACATACTCCAACACTATTTACTCCAAGGACAATGTAGGAAAAAAATAATTAATTCATTCTTGAAATCTGGAAAAATCACTTATTTTGGACCACAAAAAAAAGGCCAAAAAGTCACTTATTGTGAATCGGAGGGAGTAGTACTTTTCATCCATTGATTTACTCGTTAGCTTAGTTCTCTGCTTTTCTTGGTTGCTTCATCAAATATGTCTTTACTTGTTTGCTAACAGTTAATAGTCTAATCACATCTCACTTTTATAGTGTTAGACTTTAACCAAATAGCTAAATTCTCATTAGTCAATTCAATTATTAATTGCTTTCCTTGGGATTCTGACCTCCAATTTCAGAGGAATATATTTGCGTGAAATTTACATACCTTAAACTATAAGCTGTGGTCGAGTAACATCAACCCCTAACTAGTTACGGCATTTCAATTTTCAGCACATCACAACCTTGTCAATATAGAACAATAAATAAAATGTGTTCGGTTAGTTGTCTACTGTAAATAAACTTGCACAATATTTCTGTTGTTTCTAATGTGTATTGGAATTAAATTGGTTGGAATAGTAGATTCGACAAGATATAAATGGGTTGGAGTTGTCAGCTAAGCTTTTTAAGGTTACAACACAATACATTAGGTGCTGGAAAAATTGAGGCAACAATATGGTATATAAAGAGTTCCTTCACCTATAGCTCAGGAGAATCTGTGATGATAGGCTATCAAAATCAGCAACTCTTCAATGTAAAGTAGGGGCATGCTTAATTTGAACTCTTTCTCTTCTTTCTTGATTTAGTGGGCTTTTCTGCGCTGTCCTTGTTAAGCAAATGTTCATAGTCTTCAAGGCTAGCAAATGGGGATTTTCCGGCACGCTTGTCTGACTTCCTTTTCTTTTTCCTTTGATGTACAACATCCTCTTCATCAACTTCATCTACCTTTTCTGCATCATTTTCATCATCACTGCCGGAATTAATGTCAGCTCCATCATGTTCCAGAAGAGCATTCATCTCATCATCGCTGTTATCACCAAGCAACTCGTCATCATCTTCATTAGCAACCTCGTCCAAATCACTATAATCATATTCACCGTTAGCTTCCAAGGGAGTCCCACCGGACTCTAACATGCTGTCGATTTCCTCATTTTCACTCTCATCAGCAGCCTCTTCATCAATCTCATCTTCGACGTCGCTACCATCCGCAGTCAAAAACTCCTCAGCAGCCTCATCCTCTGGTGTCTTCTTCTTTTTCTTCTTAGGTTTCTTCGAAGACTTCATCTTATTCACGTAGAATTTGTGGAAGACAAGATCCTCAGGGGGTACATCTGTTTCAGCCAAGGAGAGAATTTCTGACCCAATCAACTGCCCTTGCATGTCAAGCTGCAAGAAAAATAAGATAAATGTGATGAAACAAGAGATATTAAATAATCACGTCAAACTTACGTGCAAGCAATGACGGAGTAAATCAATTAAAGCCTGAATCAAAGTGGTATTGGTAAATATCCTTTGTTATCTATAACAACTAACCTTCTTAGCCGGTTCAATCTGGGAGGCACCGTGCCAAGTGCTTTGTTTTGGTTTCTTTTCCATGAACTTGTCGAGGAAGGCATTCAGCGAAAGATCATTCAGGGGATTACCATTATACACAATGGTTGCTCCTGAAAGAAGGGTTCTAGCCATGGTAGCAACTGATGGGTGCGCATGCGATGCCAGTACCATAAGCTCCCACCAGCTAACATGATCTGCATTGCTGTTTATTTGTACAAGTCAACAAAGAAAAATTACATTTTCTGTATACTCAGAGAGAAGAAATTGATAAAATATTCTATTACTTGCAGTAGAGAGGTTCGCGTGCTGGCAACAAGAGTGCAATAATTAGGATATCCCCATTTACACAAAGTCAGATATACCAACTACCAATGACTTCGCATTTCTAAGGTGTATTCTACACATACTCCCTCCATTATATTTAATATGACAGTCTTTCGTTTTTTATCAATTCCCACCTTTCTACACCTAGAAACTCTTTAATTTTAGTATATCTTTTTGCCTTAAATGATGTCCTATTTTTTTTGGACAATAGTGGTTTCTTGGCCAGCTTGCGAATCTAAATGAGAAGCTCTTACAGGAATGACATGGCATGTTGTAGACCAAAAGACACAAAGGGTACTTTTGGTTTGTTTCCAAACAAACACTGTCATATAAAAGGAAAAAGAGGAACTAACAGAACTTATATTTTTATGGACAGTGTCTTTTTTACGTAAAAAAAGTTATCTACCTTTGAGAAGCCAGAAGCCAAAAAGGAATCATAGCCAATTAAAATGAAAGCAGCACGATAAGCAAGATAGAGTCTTTGATCTTTGCTCGTGACATTTCACAGGCTTAATAAATATTTAAGGCCAGAAGGAGGGCAATAACAGTACCTGAATGAAGGTTCTCTGTGCCGTGGATCATATCCTCCGGTCAATAAGTGCTTTTCACTTGAACCTTCAGGTAGAAGTTTGTTAAATCCGGACAGCAATCTAGAATCCTTTGGTTCATCTAAACCACCTCTAGCAGGCGACACATTAGCTTGGAGTGAATCATCCTCAGACTCGGAAGTAGAAACTA